ATAAACTTGGAAATTTTATTTCTCTTCATGTTGTTGAGTTATACGTGTTCTGACCTAGTTGGGTCGCATGATGCGCACCGCTCGCTTGTCCGCGCTGCTCGCTTATCAAGTACGTTATATATATATATATAGTAGCTCTAGTATACTATGTTTTATTTTACTATTATACCTTTTTTTTCTTTTATACTTTATACTTTTCTAGTATTTTTTTCTACTATATTTTTTCTTTTAATCAACTTTTTTTTACTATTTTATTACTTTTATTTATCTAGTATATTTTCCTAACTCTATATTTTACTTTTATATATGTTTTTTTAATATTTTCTTTACTTCTTTTAGAACTTTACTAAGTTAGCTTAGTTATACTTATATATTTTTATAGCTTATATAGATTTTTATAATTATAAATAAAGCTATAAGTAGCTCTATAGTAATACTATATACTACCTTGCTAGACTATTAATATATACTTTTAGTAAAACTATTTACTATAATAGCAAAGTTTATAGATAAATAGCTATATAATTAGTAGTTTATATTACTAAATAAGCTAGAAATTTCTAGATATTTTTACTATAAAGCTTACTATATCTAGTAACTTTATTTTCTATTTCTAAGTACTTTTACTATAAAGCTTATATTATTAAGTAACGTGATCTATAACCGAACAACGCACACAACCGAATGACGTACCCCACCAAGACTTTCAACTTTCACCTATAAATAGTCAACACTAGAACAAGCTACTGTGCCATACAAGGTATCAAATTAATCATCAGCATCTACTGTATCTTTCTTGCATGTACGCGAGTTATGTCCAGTCTCTCTACAGCACTTGCAGTACCTTTTCACCTGATGACCTGCACCTGTTCGCACCCTACCCTCACGTATTTCTTCATCCAGCTATGCCTCAACATCAATTTGAGTTAACAGCTCCTCTGCCTTAGTCTTCGATAGGTCTCCTCCCTTCTGAATCCGCTTCCTTTTGTGTTTCTTTTGTTCAGATACAGCTTGGTTTGCCCACTCAAGAGTATCAACTCGAGCTGCTAACAGTGCCTGTGAATGCAGCATTATCTCAGCACCTTTTCTAAACTGTGCAACCATGTTGATTATTGAAGCAGGTGAGGAGCTCTTGTGCCTTTCAATCTGAG